AAAATAAAATAACAGAAACAATTGCATGGAAGTAATAAACGCCAGGCCAACGCCAAGAAGATTCACATAAGATTCCGGAGACGGGGTTGGTGAATACTGGGGCTAATTGGACGTAGACACCTTGAAAATATAATTAATTTTAATTTTTAATTAAAAACCTCCTTATAAGATACACCCTGGGGTTGAAAACATAGTCTCTTATAATGAGGTGTATCTTAAATAGAGAGTATAATGAGGGAAAGGCTAGTTAAATCCCAGCAGATCAAGTTAGCTGTGGCTATGACAAATAGACAGTGGACAATTGGTCAATGGACAAAATGACAGCGGACATTTGGACAGGGGACAAATGGCCAGTGGACAATTGGATAATTTTATGAATAGTTAAATTTACATAATGTAGCAGTAAAAAATGCATATTGTTTATGATAAGTCCAATAAGTAACAAAATGTCCAAAGGTTGCCATATCACCAGCAAAAGCCATTCCTTGCAAAGCTCTGGCAAGTAAAAACCAATTCCACCCCATTTTCATACAATAAGGAATTAAAGCTGTAGCAACTGCACCAAAGAATCCAACAGCGGTGAATAAATATCTAGGTCCATACCAATTAATAAGTGTAACAATTGGAATATTTGTAATTAAAGCTCCAATAGCTACCAAGGCCATTGATTGGCTCTAAATAAGAATAGAGTAAAACCTCTGTATAAGACACCTTCTTTATAAGATACCCTCACTATAAGATACCCTCACTACTAGATACACCCCTATTTAAGAGACACCCTTTAAATCTGTCTGGCCCTGGGTGGGGAGAGCTTCCTAAACGATACCCTCTATTTAAGAGACACCTCATTATAGGAGACAATTTTCAGCCCCAAGGGGGTATCCTACAATGAGGTTTATGTTCATAATTAAATTTACTACCTTTTCATAATTAGTAAATTCTCTAGTTAGCCAGGCTTCATCAGAATTTTCTATTGTTTTATTCAACAAAGAATTAGTTGTTAAATTGCTGATTTGATTGTGATCGTGTTCTGTAGTATTCTCATGTTCTCTTGGCCTCATGCAAATCTTTATAAATTTAAAATTAAATTATCATGTCATGAATGATTAAGAGAAGATAAATTTCCTTATCCTTTTGGAGGATCAGACCACTCTATAAATCCTACCGACAAAACGCCGATAGGACAAAACATCTAATATCCAAAATACCAGAGGACAAAATATAGTCTGTCTAGAATGTCAGAAACTCCCGACATAACACCCAAAGACAAAATACCCAACGACAAATCACTAAGACAATAACCGTCAAAAATAACAGTATGTCCAAAATGCCGACCGACAAAACGCCACCAAAAACACCACCCCCATTTATTTAATGTTTAATTAAATCAGAATTTCTGATATTTTTTTCTGATTTTATTTATTAAAAAAATTAAAAATTTACCACAGTAAAATTAAAAGTCAGAATATTAGCCCAATTAATCATTAAACACAAAACAACCAATACAAGCAACAAAAACCGAGTACGGCTAGCCATTGGGGGATTATTTTCATCTTCATTATTAATTGACATTTTTTTAATAATTTTTTTTCTCTTTAAAAAATTATTTTTTATTGATAAAAAATCGAAAAAAGGTTAATAGTTGTTGCGCAATTTAAAAAATAAAAGAGAAAATGGCAGAAAATGGTTTCGGTTACATGTCTTCTTATATAGAAAATAAAATTATTTTTTTAGATATAAAATTTTAATTGAAGAGAGTTCGTCGATGAGAGAACAAAAACAAATTTTTATAATTAAAAATAGGAAAAAAATTTCTTTGGACAAAAAGGCACACCGACATTTGCGGACAAAACCGAACCCTGTTGAAATTGGGACAAACGGCCATTAGGACAAATGGACAGTAGGAAAAAAGGTCATTTAGGCCATTTTGGTCACCTTTACATACGTAATATTTTCGCGGTACGGACTAATTACGCAGGCCCCCCGTAGCCAGGGGGGTAGCCAGCCCCCCCCCCCCCTGAAAAAAATCCTGGCTACGGGCCTGTCATTACGGTACTTTATATAAATAATAAAACAGAAAGGTGTTCGCAAATGTCGTTCCACCAAAAAAAGGGGAAGAAAAATTTTTTAAAATAAAAATTTCTCGAAAATGTATAGGGTATCTATTTAAAATTAATTATTTAAATTTAAAAAAACGTCGGTAAAAAATAAAAGGAAAGTTTTTGTTTAGTGGGGGCGTTGAATTTGAATTTTGACTATTTAGAATTAATTGGTTAAAATGAAGGCGGGGAAGGACGTAAAAAATTAATTAAAAAAATTTAATTAATTTTAAGATTAAACGGAAAGAAAGGTTTTTTCTGTTCAATTTTTCTCTTAAAATTAACTGATTGATGATCGCGGTAAATGATAGTTTTTAGTTGTGTTTGTTCCTTTTTTGGGGAAAATTAAAAAAAATTTTTTTGAGAGTTCAACGGTAAACGGGAGAAGAAAAAGGAAAGGTTTTTTGTGTTTGTGAATGATGCGCAGTTATGTAAATGTGAAAATTTTAAAAACAAAAAAATAAAAATTGATTAAAAATTGTGACGATTTTAAGAAAATTTAGAAATAATATTTTATTTATAAATACAGTCAAAACCTCGTTATATTACCCCAATAACCCCAATAGTATATTATGCATTTCAGGTAGTGTTTAAAATTAGGTTGGCCATTATTGTGAGGGTGAGGAGACCTTCTACTTTACATCAGGGATACTCGTGAATATATCCGGATACGGACGGATATTGATAGTGTTTTTTTAAAAATCGGACGGATACGGATGGATTTTTGAGTATGATTTAGCCCTCTAGGGCGTACACAACACATTCAGTTATATTTCATAAAATTGGAAAAGGAGAATTGATGTGACGTGAGTTGGAAAAGGAAAGGAGGATAAGAGGGTGAATGAACGTTCATAGGCATTTGCTAGATCCACTGGGCTTTGAATCTCACAATAAGTAAGACCCTCCCAACCTCGGCTCATCAGTTCCTCGTTGCCGGGACTCGATGCATTTTAACTTGAGTCGATTCCCGATCCAACGTCATTTTCTTTCTACTTAATCTCAGCAATATTTGAGAGACGAAGGGGTGTCGTTATATCGAGATTGGAATTTTTTTAATTTTATTTAAAAAATGATGTAATTAAATAATTAAACTACCGAGTAACTTTGCCCCTTTTTAAATATTTTTATTAAAATAAAAGAGAAGGGCGTGATTGAATGACTAACTTTAATTAAAAAATTTTGCCAGTCTTGAACATCTTAAAAATTAAATGATTGATTATATTAAATATTTAGAGACAAATAAAATTAATTAATTAACCAAATATAGATTTATTTTAAACAAAATCTATTTTTGTATGTATTTATGACATTTTTTAATTACAAAAAAATTTCTTTTTGATCAGACTTTAATATTTTTAATTTTTTTTCTTCCCATAAATTTAAATTGTAATAAATAAGTAACGTATCCTTTCTTTATTTTTTATACTCATTTCCGGTAATTAAAGAACAAATTAAATATATTTTATGATTCATAATTTGTTTAAATAAAATATAGTCAATATATGTATACTCCTTCAGCCAGTACAAAGGGTTACTCTGGCCAGCATCTTCAATTGACAGGACTGGTGTGTTATCCATTTCACAACGCCGCCTCATACACGGCCTTAGGGAATTAAATAGCTACATGTATGAACTTGGATGGGACATTGAGGTGACCCTATACCCAAAGGAGACCCTTGGTATCATACCAAAGGTGAGATACCCAAGGGAGACCCTTTCCAAATCACCAAAAGGGGGTATGGCCTCTCAAAAAGGGGGAATAAAAGGGGACAAAATTAGTCAAAAAGGGGGGGAAATACCACCTAAAGGTGGTAAAAGGGTTACCCTGCTATACCTCCATATATGTGAGTACAGCTCATTTATGAATACAAACTTTCGACCTCTTGGGTAAACGAGGTGTCCGATTTTACTTTATTTTAATTCCTTTCCCCAACAACGTGATCTACTTTTCTAATTTTTTTGAAAGGATTAAGTTAGTCATCCTTCTCTCTTTCTGTACAAATTGCCGACAATCGACAACAACCAAATACCTTCGATATCCTCGTCAATAATATTTAAAAAAATATGCTGAATACTTTTCTCAATATATTGACCTTGTAGTGTTGCTGCGTGCGTTTTTCATTCTTATATTCCTCTACAACAGTTTTGTGAATAAATTTTTTGGTGAATTTAATACTTTTATTTATTTTTGTTATAGCCGAAAACCTCGTTATAAGATAAACTCTTGGGGTTGAAATTTTGTCTCTTATAATGAAGTGTTTATTAAATAGAAGGTATCGCTTTAGGGCAGCTCTCCCATGCAGTGTAGAGATCTGTATTGGACAGGATTCTTGATCTGAATCCAGGAAAAATCCACGAAGATAAAAATGCCTGGATCTGGTCTCTGGATCCACGAAAAATCCAGACTGGATCCGGATCCAGATCGATCTCCCATACAGCGAGAGGCCAAAAAACTTTTACAGAACTTACCCTAAACTGAGAGGTGTATCCAATATTGAGAGTATTTTATGTTTTGGGGTATCTTATATTGAGATCAAAGGGGTGCCTTATAGAGAGGTCTGTCTCCATCTAAAAATACAAAAAACTCCCCAAAAAATCCTCAAAATTACAATTAATCCCATTTTCCATCATTTGCTGTGTAAACAATTTTAATTTTAGTTAAAGACCAACTGGCCATTTTCTATTTGTTTTCATTTCATTTACCGGTCAGTCAAACACAAAATCTTTATTTTATTTTAGCTGCGCTTCTCCACAACCGGATTGTAAAACAAAAGAGAAAAGCAAAATCCTCTCTTTTTAAATTCATCCATTTACTCTTTTCTATTTGGATTTTAAATAGATAAACAGAACCTCATTATAACATACACCCAATACTAGATACACCTCTATTTAAAGTACGCTCTTCAAAATTTGGTTGCCCATTGAGTCAGGAAGCTGGCTAAACGATACCCTCTTTTTAACAGACACTCATATCGCAACCCTCATTATAAGATACCCCCACTATAAGAAACTCTCATTATAAGAAACTTCCAATATTGGATACACCTCCATTTAAGAAACGCTTTCAGTTTTCCAAAAGTCTAGGAGCTGCCTAAGTCATACCCTCTATTTAACACACACCTCATTATAAGAGACAATTTTTCAAGGGTGCATCTCATAACGAGGTCCGACCGATTTCTTTTTTTTCCTTCTCAGTCCTTGGACATTGTAAATATTTGTTTTATTTGCGCGGTCATTTTTAGGCGAAGGAGAGAAAAGGATTGGCTAGTTTAGCAAGTAATTGAATTGAAAAAAGAAAATTTATTTAGGTAGATCAACCCAGCAATCGTCGCGGCTCACCAATTCTTTCCTCTCTTTTTTCCCTCCTTTCCTCCACCAATTTCCCTCAATTTCCTTCCAGGCAGATTCAAAAACTACAAAAAACCCCAAGGATTTTAGCCAATTTTGTTTGAACGCGCAACAAAAAATTTTCCAACGAACCAGCCACCCTTTTTTAATCTTCATCAATTATAGAAAGCTTAGGGAAAGGCCAGTCAAAGATTTTTCTAGAAAAAAAGTTTTTTGGTTAAATAATGCTTTAAATAAATATTTATTTTTATTTCCTTCCAAAAATTTTCTGCAAAAATACCTTCCATTTTGGTTAAATTAAAAAAGTCTGGACGGTGTTTTGTCCCTCAACCCAAAATTTATTTTTAAAAAAATGTTTGGAAACTAAACAATTTAATAATAATCCCCCCTTCCCTTAATAAAAAAAATTTAAAAATATTTTCTGACAAAAGGATTAAAAAATATTTTGTTTTGTTGAAGAAAAGTAAGAGAGAAGATTAAATCCAAAATCATTCAAAAAAATTTTTTTATTAAAATCGATCTATTTTTGTGGAATTTATTTATGTTGAAAGTTTATAAATTTTAAATAAATTTTAAAAATTCCCCGAATTCTTGAGTAAATTGTTTATTTATAAACAACCCCTCGCCGTCACAAAACCCTCTCCCATTCCCGAGTTCTTCCCAAAAGCGGCATGATCCTTAGATAAAATCTCTCTTATTTAATTAAGTTTATCGGCAATGCTTTGGCAGTCATCCCTCCTAATTTCCTTCCCACTTTCCAGAATTTTTCAAAGCTTCTTTCCTTCTTTCTTCCCCTATTCTTCCTTATAATCTAACAAAAATTTATTAAATTTAAGAAATGTCTCCATTAAAAAATAAATATTTAACAAAAATATTTATTTATTTAAATTATTTATTTATTCAATTAATTAATGGACAACAACAATCACAACCATTTCAATCAGAAGAGTGTAAAAAGGCTGCAACTAATTGTGAAAATTCGACAGATTGTGTACACAGATTGGCTGTATTGCAATCTGCTTGGTCTGAATATTTGTATTTTTAGGGGATGGGGAAATATGCCTGAAAAATTTTTGTGCATATTTCGAAATATGCATTGAATGTTGAAAAATATGCCAAAATATACTTTTGCGACAAAACGGTACATGCGACAAAATGACTAGGGACAAAATGACTAGGGACAAAACGCCAAGGGACAAAACGCCAAGGGACAAAACTGTACCTGCGACAAAACGCCAAGGGGCAAAACGGTACCTCGACAAAATAGTACACAGGACAAAACAGTACCCACGACAAAATAACTCATAGACAGATGATACATTTTTACTAGCTTCAATCATTTCATAATTTTTAGTGTAACAAACACTTGCCAGCCCCAATGCCGGGAAGCAGCTTTAAATCTCTATCAAAACCGTGAAGGAAGAAATTTATTAAGAACGGATGCTAGTTGTGTTCCAGGCAGATATGAACTAGAAAAGTGTGGATTTCTGCCAAATAAATTGCCAAAACATTGTTTATTGGCTAAATTGATTTGTGAAATTGATTTACAAGTAATTTAAAATTTAAATACAGTCAAAACTTCATTATAAGATACCCCTTGGGGGTGAAAAATCGTACCTTATAACTGGGTGTATGTTAAATAGAGAGTATCGCTTAAGCAGTTCCCCCACCCTTACTCAACGGTACTTACGACGAAACGTTTCGCGACAAAATGATACCTACGACAAAATGGTACCATGACAAAATGGTATCCCGACAAAACGGTACCCACGACAAAACGGTATTGACGGCAAAACAAGTTAAAATGATCCAACTAAGGTGTTTTAATATTGGGGGTATCTTATAATGAGGTCTGTCTGTATTTTAAATTAACTCAATAGTGCAACTCAAAATGGGAAGTATTTATTTCTGAATGTGAAGCAAACAAAAATAACAACGATATACAAAATTGTTCTGATAAGTGTCGTAAATATTTAAATTCAACATTGTCAACACAACAAGGAATAGCTTTTGGGAGCTGTTAGTTGTTTTTTAAAGGAATTATTTTTAAAAATTGTTTAAAAGGTACTTGTACCGACAAAGAAGATGGGCGTTGTATTCAATTGCGAGAGGGAACACTACAAGCTTGTTTGAGACAGACGAGTGGAGAGGAGGTTTCTAGTTTAGAAATATATGTGGAGAGGTCGGACCTAGTACCTCACTGAGACAGTACCTCACTATACCCCTATTATCTCACTGAAATACCCAATACTAGAGGATTTCGTCCTGGATTTGTTTGCAATTGTCATGTCCGCAAATGTCGCACCCGCTGTTAAACTGTTAGGCAAATTAGTACCTTTAGGAATATTAAATTAGGACGGAAAGTAAAAATAAATTTGGACTATTACCTAGACAAATTAGGGTAAGAAGAGTAGCCTAAGCGATATTCCATTTAAGATACACTCATTATAAGAACAAATTTTCAGTTTCAAGGAATATCTTAAGGGCCAGCTTTATTCCCTTATATTTTTCCCGCTTTTCTGTCCGCAATATTTCTGTTGCAATTGTCATGTTCGCAAATGTCGCAATCTCATTTGTCAATTAAATTTTTTAATTTAAAGGAAGGTCCTCTACCTCGACCAAACATTACTCCAACTCAACCAGAAGAAGAAGAAACTTCCTCAGAAAACGAAATTGAATCAAATAATATTATTTCTACTTCACATTCACAGAGTGACGTTCCTGCAGGAACTTTATCTACTGTTAAATATAATGGATGGATTTTAGTTATTCCGTCAATGTTTTTGTCTTTATTGACTGCTTTGATTTTTAATTAATTTAAAGAAATATTTTAGGGATTTTTTAATATTTGTATATTTTCTTATTTTTGTGGTTAAAATTTTTTTATAATAAAAATTGAAAGACCATGAAGAACAGGCCTGTTCGTAACTATCTTGTCCGCAAATGTCGCAGACGCAATTGTCATGTGCGCAAATGTCGCAGACGCAATTGTCACGTGCGCAAGTGTTGCCGACGCAATTGTTTTGTACGCAATTGTCGCAGACGCAAATGTTTCGGACGCAATTGTCATGTACACAAGTGTCGCAGACGCAATTGGCACCTTCACAAAAACCCTTTCCTCATTTCCCTTTTTCATCAGTCGCGTTCACATTTGTCATGTTCTCAATTGTCGCCTCCTCAAATGTTACAACACCCCAAAAATTAAATAAATTTTATTTATTTTTTTCTATAAAATAGCCAATTTATTCCTTATTTAAATAATGTAAATTATTTTATTTTTAATATGTATCCTCATCAGGCTTCTCTTAAATCTCTCTTATCCTTTTTTATATTTTTGCCGGAAAAATAATAGCAAATTAAAGAAGACTCTCTTTAAAAAGATTCTTTGTTGAAAAGACTAATTGGCCTCCTATTGCTAAAAAATAAGATGAGGATTTCTTTCCGTTTTTGTTGGCGGTTTTGGAGTTTTTAATTCTTTAAAATAATAGTCGGACCTCATTATAAGATACCCCAATATTAGGACCTCTATTGGACATTTAAGCGCAAGCCGTTTTTGGTTAGGGCACGAGAGGTCACGGATCGCGAGGCGTTATGTCGTGTGTACCATTTTGTACCATTTAATCCTGTGTACCGTTATGTCGTTGGTACTTTTTGCCGTTAAGCGGTTTGTCGCAAGAGAATATCTTGATTTATTTTTCAAAATACCTTCTGTTTAACATACACTCTTATTACTATAAGATATCATTTTCATAAGTAATATGGAGGCCAGGCTATATTTTTAAAAAATAATTTCTAATTTATTTCCACATGTTTGTCCCAACAATTATTATTTTTAACACAAATAAATATATAGATATTACCCTTCTCATTATTTCCCGCATATTTTTCTTTCATTTTTATTTCTGTCAAGTCCATTGCTTCTCTTATATATTTTAGTTAAGGACAGCAATGCCGCTAATTACATATTTATTTCTCATAATCTGTTTTAGCCAGATGTGAGGGGAGGGAGAGAAGGGGAGGATTGCTTGAGAGAGATTTAAAAAGAAAAATAAAAAATATTTTTAAAGGTTCAAATTGCATCATTTAAAATATAAATATTGTCGAGAACCTTATTATAAGATAACCCCATAGGTGTTGAAAATAGTCTCTTATAATGAGGTGTCTATTAAATTGAGGGTAGGAGGGGGTGTCTATTAAATAGAGGGTGTCTATTAAATAGGGAGCATCCAACACCTAGATACCCTCTTAGGTGTTGAAAATAGTCTCTTATAATGGGGTGTCTATTAAATAGAGGGTATGCTTAGGCAGCTTCCCACACCTAGTGGGTAATTAAATTGCTAAAGAGCTTAAATTAAGGGTATCTAGTCGGAACAGTTCATCTGAGCCCCGGCTCTATAATCTCGATTAATTGATAAAAAAAGTTATGATCCAAAAACTAGCTTTTCAGAAAAATCTGATTTTTCGGTACTTTATCGATCATAACCTTTTTTTACCAGTTTGTCAAGAATTTTGATTTTTTGGTATTTTATAGCGTATTTAATGCTCTATCTACCAAGAACATAAAGAATCTGTTATTAGGTTATAGGGGCCGGAACTCTGTTGAGGTGTCTCTAATATTGAGGTGTCTAATATTGGGTGTATCTTATTTCGAGATTTTTTCCTTAAAATATTTTTTACGTCTCGGTATCTTCCCCCATTTTATTGCCTAAAATAAAAATTTTATTTTTAAAGTTTCATTTACTTAATTAAAGCTAAAAATTAAAAATCCCAATTTTATACCATCTGCCCCTCTTTAAAGAAATTTTCTTCTTTCTTTCCTCTTACTTAATTCACCGCCCATCACTTTAATTATATTCCAATTCTTTCTCTTTTTTCCGTCACCCGATCGTAAAATCTTTTTTTGCTTCTTCCTTCCTTTTCTGTTTTTGTTGCTTCTGTTCTCGTTACCAAATTACGAGCACTCTCCGATTTGTCAGTAAATTTATTTTATGTTTATTTTTATTTGTTGCCTTAGGCGAATTACGCCAAAAAGTAATTGCTACAGTATTTTTAGTTTATTAGAAATAAAATTTTTTTAATTTTTTGGCGACATTTGCGAACAAAAATTGCCATTTTCAGGCAAACGACATTTGCGGACAGACATTTGTGAACAGACATTTGCGAACAACACAACTATGTCCGGTAGATACAGTATTATTTTAGCGATACAGTATCTATTACAGTACTCTTTATTAAGGATATGACAGAAAATGTCCGCAAATGTCATTGTTCGCAAATGTCGCTCTGCCAGATATTTTATTAAATTCAAGAAAAATCCACTACTTTTTCTTTCTCATTTTTTTCCTTTCCCTCAAATTAATTTTTCCCGTCTTTTAATCCCTTCGCCTAATTAATCATTTCATCTCTTGTATCCAACACCTAAAAATATATATATCCATTCCTCATAATTTTTTAAAATATTTTATAGCTTCCCTCTTTTTTAAAAAAAATATTTATTAAAATTAATTTTTCTGTGTTGCTAATTTTATTTTAGAAAAGTAAATTATTGAACAGCCCCTGGCCCCCAGTCAAATGTCGTTCTGCCAGACCTCTATATTTATTTAATTTATTGTCCGCAAATGTCGGTGCTCGCAAATGTCGTTCTCCCGGAACTCCCAGAGGTGGGTCGGAATTCCGATTTCCGAAAAAAATTTTTGATTTCCGAGTTCCGACTTTTGAGCCATTTCCGATTTCCAACAGTTCCGATTTGCGACACCTCTGACTGTTCCGACCCACCTCTGGGAACTCCTTTATTTATTTAAAAATTTAGTCCGCAAATGTCTGTTCTCAAATGTCGTTCTCTCAAACCCATATATTTAAAAAATTATTTTTTGTCCGCAAATGTCTGTGTTCTCAAATGTCAACCTGCCAGACCCCTATATTAAAATTTTTTTTTAATTTTAAGAAAATTTTCCTGAATATAAGTTTAGCCGATTGTCTGTTCATTTCCATCGATCGAGTAAAAAAAGGTGCAGTAAGTATCCCGCTGGGCCAAAAATTAGATGTTTTGTCGGCGTACACGAAAATTGACTTTTTTGCTGTTCAAAAAAGGGGGAATTTTTAATTAATTCTTTAAACGATTTAATTTTCTCTAAGAAATAAAGGTATTTATTTTTGATTATAGTCAAGTAGAGTAATAAAAAGTTGGGAGCGGGGAATGTCTTTTAAGTTTTAATAAAGCAATTATTTTTGGGAGGGGAGTGCCATTGAGAAAGGATGAAGAAATTATTTTTGCGCGAAGCTCTATACTTTAAAAATAAAAATTGCTAGTTTAAATTAATTGTGTGGGAAATTGCTAGGGAATTTTTAATTTAAATAAATAGGAGGACCTCGCTATAAGATAACTAATATTAAATACACCTCTATTTAAGAGACGCTCTTGAAAGGGTTGTTTAGGCAATAGTTGGGAGAGCTGTCCAAGCGATTCCTCTATTTAAGATACACCTCTATTCAAGAGACACCTCAGTATAAGATATAAGGTACGCTATAAGGTACACCTCCCTATAAGATACTCTCAATATTAGATACCACAAATAGTAAGATACCCCTCAATTTTTTGGAGCGACCTTTGCGAACACCGACATTTGCCCAATAAGTTCTTTTTTATTGTACCTTTATTTAAGATACACTCTCTAAAGTGTCTAAACAATACCCTCTATTTAAGAGACACCATTATAAGATTTATTAAATTAATATTTATAGTCTTTTTAATTTACAACCACTGATCCGTAGAATGGCGCGTTATACAACAGCAAACTTCCCCCAAAAATTAATTATTATATATTGTATTAGAAAAATAATGGGAGGGGAGGGAAGAGGAAATTGTCTCTCCAATTTAAAAAAAATAATTAATTTATAAAAAAAATATTTTTTAAAGCTGTTTTTGTCAGCCACGCGCTGATGGTTATATAGCCGGAAATGTGCCGGAACGAGTGATGACACTGTGTGAGTGAGGGGAAAATTAATCGGAGAGCCTAAATTGAGCATGAGATGAATTAAATATTTTTATTATTAGAAAAAAAAACAAAATGCAGGTAAAAAATGACTAAAAATATTTTGGCATTTTTTGTCTTATTTTTGTCGCGACATTTGCGTACTTCGACATTTACGAACATACGCTATAAAATACTGTAATAAATACTGTACTGCTAAAATAGTGTATAATATGTATTGGCTATAGTAATTGACAAGATCCCTTTGGAACAAAATCCAATGTCCTTCCTTCTATTGGAGTGACATTTGTGAACTTCGACATTTGCGAACATTCCCCAATTTTCTAGTACTGTAAAGTACTTTCTAGTACTTTCTAGTACTAGTGTGCCACCAAAATAGTATAATATGCATAGACCATATTAACTGACAGGATTGAATGTTCCTTCGTCACAATTTAATTAATGTCCGCAAATGTCGGTTCGCAAATGTCGCTGTGCCCAAATAAAATAATTTGTGGTTATTGTCCTCCCCCTACCGAATTTTTTGGTTAAATAACAAACCAAACAAATATTTTAATAAGAGAAAAGGGCACATTTTGAAGAAAAGTTTAGAGAGTTTTTAGTGTGTCTTTCATTCACACTCACCAAAAATTGGCCGAGAATTTGGGGGGAAATTTTGAAAAAGGAAAAGGAAGCCAAAAATCACCATAATAATAGAAATGAAAATTTTTATTTTTTACAGTAGCATGGTTGACAGAGCTTATAAATTCAAAAAAAAAATTTTATTTATTAGATGAGCAATTTATTTAATAAATAAAAGGGCGGCTCATAACCACCAAAAAATATTTTCTTTATTTTTCCTTTTATTAATAAAATTTTTATTTTTTAAAATGTCAATTTTAAATGCTATGAAGGTGAAAAAATTTTCTTTTTTATTTTATTTAATTTCAATTGAAAAGAAACCTTTAATTTTTTTTAATTGTAAAGAAGCCCTAATTTAAAAGGATTTTTTGCCTATTTAATTTGATCGACATTTGAGCACACCGACATTTGCGAACAAAACTAAAGTCTATTGAACTTTGATCAAACGGCTTTTGGTACAGTACCAAGTCTTGTGGATTCGGTATTATTTTGGTGCTACAGTATTTATTACAGTACTTTATATAAGCTATAAACCGGATAATGTTCGCAAATGTCGTTCTACATTAACTTTGTTAAGGAATAAATAATTAAAAAAGATTAATAAACTTTTTTAAACTAAAAATATTTGGGTTAGAAAAAAAATGCCGCAAAAAAGGAAAATATTAAATTTATTTTTATATTTAATCCAAAAAATCGCCGTAATAGTTTTTTGGCACATAAAACGGTAAAAATAAATATTTTCTTTTTTGTGGGTTTTGCAAGGATTTGTGTTGTTTTTATTACTTATATTAGTCTTATATTTTTGGCGTTTTAACGGTTTGTTCCGATTTCAGTAATTTTGGTTGTGTACCTAAATGTCCGTGAAGGCAAATGTCGGTACGCAAATGTCGTTCAAAACAAACTTTAACAGCCTTTTGATTTGTTCGCATCTGTCGATGTGCGCAATTGTCGTTTAAATTAAATAACAAATTTATCCTATTTTGTTTGTATTTCTTTCTCTGTCTATTACAGTATTTCTCTTTATTAAATATATTTTCTCTCTTTATTTACTCACATATTAAAAAAGTTTTTAATTAAATAATTAAAACAAATTAAAGAATGGGCGGGGTATTCCAGAGAGTCTCCCCCCTCTTCCTTAAATTATTTTTTAAAAACGGCCGGGAATTGGTTAACCTTTATTTCTTTTTCAATTGGTTTCTAATTGAATAGAGAAGAAAATAAATAAAAATAGAAGGGAGGCCACGCCCCTTTTTTTCTTTCCATTAATTTTAAGTTTGTCTTTTCTTCTTTTCATAATATTTTTAACACAATTAGATAGCTTTAAATTAAAATTAAATTAAAATTAAATTGAATACCTCATTATAAGAGACATCCAATATTAGACACACCTCTATTTAAGAGACGTTCTTTAAGTGTTTTATTCGTTGAGTGCAATACCCTTCTATTTAAGATATACCTCATTAAAAGAGACCCCCCATTACTGGCTACACCTCATTATAAGGTCCCCCAATATTAGAGAAACCTCTATTTAAGAGACGCTCTTTAAAAGTTAGTTGGTTATTTAGTGGGGGAATTTTCTCAAGCAATACCCTTCTATTTAAGATACACCTCACTATAAGAGACCTCCATTATTAGCTACATCTAATTATAAGAGACCCCCCATTATTAGCTACACATTCATTATAAGAGACCCCGATATTAGCTAAGCTTCTATTTAAGTTACTCTCGTTATAAATTTAGTCAGTCAAAAGTGGGCGGGGCTTCCTAAGTGATACCCTCTAAAAATTTCAAATTGGGACAAAATGTCCTTTTTTAACAAATAATTATCATATATTTTTAATTATATATTTATTTAAAACACACAAAATTACCTCATTTGCCAACAACTTTTTTCTCGTTTTTTATTTAATTTTAACCTTGTTTTTATTATATTTTCTCGTAATATTCTTTAAATAAATAAATTCAATTTACGATTTTTGACGAAGCAACCCGCTTATACAATTTTATTGCTTTATAACTAAATAAATATATTAAAATAAATTTATTTTATTAAATATTTATTTGGATTTTAATAATAAAAAATCAAAAAAAAATTTTTTTTTGATTGAATAAAAAATATTCTTTGATACCCTTAATTCTTCTCTTCCCCCCCCCCCCTTTCCAAAATAATTTTTGATTTTTTAACCAATAGTCTTCCCTTTGATTTTTTTATGTTGTTATAGGGTTGCCGAGTCGGACCGACTGTCAAGTCATTTTTTCGGCTTCATTTTTATCGAGTCGGGCCGTACGAGTCTTTTTCGGGTCAAATATCTTAGGCTTTCGGTCCGAGTCGGGCCATTTTGGCAACCCTAGTTATCATGATTTTTTTGTCTTTCTTTTGAACTTAAATTTTTTTGATTGTTATCCTTCTGAATAATTATTATTAGAGACCAGACTGGAAGTGCCTTGTAGTGAATCGAAATTATGAACAAAATCTCGATTTTCGATAAACGAGATTTTTGACCGAGATCTCGTCTCTGTCCGATCCTTATTTATTATATCATTCGAAAGCTTTGAATATAAGGATTATTTTATCTGTTCGGAATAATGTGAATAAGAAATAAAAATAAATAAAGTTTTACAAAAAACTACAGCTAAATAAGAATTAAAAATCACGATAGCATGGATTTGATTGGCCGTAACTCTTTGTAGGATGTTCCAATTGGATCTATCCTGCTTGCTAAAATAATCCTTACATTCTTAGCTTTCAATTGATATAAGAATTATTTAAATCGGTTGAGAATTAAGAAAGTTATGGCCCAAAATATGGCCTCGAGAGGGAATCGACGAGTATGAGATGGCCTTTGGCGAAATGTCATTTTAGTGGACACAACGCCAAAGAATTTAATTAAATTTTAATTTTGTGTTTTTCTCATGCTTTTGGCTTGTTATTGAAGAATATTCTTTATTTATTTTTTGTTTTTCAAAAATTTTTTTCAGATTTTTAATTTCCACCCTTCTCTATTTTCTTCAAAATTTAAATGTAACTAATTAATTAAACCACAAAAATTAATAATTTAATAAAAACAATATTTAAAAGAATGTGTTCTCTAAGTTCCTGCCCTTCCCCTGTTTGGTCTAACAATGAAGGAATTAATTTGGGGGGAAATAATAATGGAGAAAAGTGGCCTGGAACTTCAACAACTACAAAACCCAAACATTCAATTAATGAAATTTTGTCAGAAAAAAATGAAGAGGAGGAACAGAGTGTTAAAAAGGAGGAAGGGGTGGAGGAACAGAAGAGGTAAATGATCCTTCCCCAATACTGGATACACCTCTATTTAAGAGACGCTCTTAAAATTTGGACACTGGATGAGGGGAGCTGTCTAGGGGATACCCTCTATTTAATAGACACCTCATTATAAGAGACTTCTCATTATAAAATACCCTCTTTGTTAGATACACCTCGTTATAAGCACACATTCTGTTTAAGAAAACGAGGTGTATCTAACAAAAATATAAAATACCCCCTTTATTAGACGCACCTCGTTATAAGATAAGAATTTTTAACCCCAATGCGTGTCTTTGGGGTTTAGTTTTTATAAGTTTCCATTTCAACATTGTCCACTTTGAAGTCTTTAAAATTTTGAAATTTTTTAGTTTTGAACAAAATTTGGAAGAAAATAACAACAATTTAATAAAATCAGAAACAATAAAAGAAGAAAGAAGAGAAGAAGAAGAACACCCCCACCAACAACAACCGCAACTTCCCCTAATTCCCCCAACAATTTCAATTCAAAATTTGCTTCAAAATTTTGTCCAAAATTTATTTTCCCAAAAATCTACTCAACAATTAATCCCTCCTTCCTCAAATAATTATTTTTCCCCTCCATTTTCTCAACTACAAGAATTACAAAATAATCAAATAAATAATTGGCCATCTTCTCTTTTATTACAACAACAAATTATTGATAATAATTTAAATAATTCAGGTGGGGAGTGGTCTAAAAAAATTTTTTTGACACCTCTTTATAAGAGACGGTTTTTCAGCCCTAATTTGTGAGTGGGTGTTGATAAGAAGGTCTCTAGGTTTTACAAATTTTGAAGGTTTACCGTTTTGAAAATTTTCCATTTTGAAATTTTAACATTTTGAGGATTTTCCATTTTGACATCTTCCATTTTGAAATTTTACCGCTTCGAAGATTCACCATTTTGAGGATTTCACCATTTTGAAAAATTACCATTTTAACTTTGACCATTTCGAAAAGTTACCATTTTGTAATTATCAAAATTTCAAATTGTAAAAAAATCAATTCGGAAAAATTTCAATCTGGAAAAAATCAAAAATTAAAATTTTCAAGTAGGGGGAAGGATTTTTTATTTGGTTTACTGTATTTAATATTTGTTAAAAAAGTGTGTGTAAAACTTGTATTACATATTATTAAAAAGATGAAAATGATTCATTAAATGTTTTTATTACAAAATAAATCATTCCAAATTATTAAAAAAAATTTTGATTTTTTAAAGAGAAATTTAAATTTTTTAAAATTTAATTTTTAAGTTCAATCTCCACCCTCAACAACAAATTTATTATCATTCCCTCCCCCTCCCTCAGCTTCTTCCCAAACAACAACAACTTTTTTCCTTCCCTTTCCCCAACAAATAAAAATGGAAACAACACAACAAATAACCCATCAAAATTCTTCCCCATCCCCTCCAACAATTAATTGTTTTAATCAGTCAAATTCTCCTTGTAATTTAAATGGAGGAGGAGGGGGAATTATTGGGAAAAAACAGTCTAGGCCGACTTTTAGTGGACAACAAGTAGATTTTTAAAAAATTTTTTGAAAAATTTCTAGAAAATTTGAAAAAAATTTTGAAAATTTCAGAAAATTTTAAAAATCCCAAAAAAAATTTCTGAATTTTTGGAAAAATTTTCTAGAAAATTTTTTGAATTTTTTAGAAATTTTTTTTGAGATTTTTAAACGAGAAATAAAAAATTTTTCCTTTTATAGATTTACATGTTGGAAAAAAAATTTGAAAATTCAAAATATTTGGCTGGGACAGAGAGGGCACAATTGGCTAAAGAATTGTCAATGACTGAAAGTCAGGTTAAGGTGGGCAACTTTTTTTGGAAAATAACAAAAAAATATTTTTTTAACTCTCGGCCAACTATAAAATTTCCAAAATCCTCCCCCTCAACTACAGTATTTCCTTTATTTTTCCCTTGTCTCTCTTCTCTTTTCTTTGTCTCTTCCATATTTCACCAATTCCACATTTTGCCAACAAGTGTAAAAATCGACGTTTTGCCACAAAGTTTGTTGACAAAATGTGTGCTTTTACCCTTTTTGGTGAAATGTGGTATTGGTGAAATATGGTTACTCACTCTTCTTCGTTTTCTCTTTCCTCTTGTCTAAAACAACTAAAAATACATTCATTATTTCATTGCCCGTTAAAAAAAAGAATTAATGGATAAAATAAAAAATTAAGATAAGAAAGAAAAAATGCGGCAGGGCATCTGCTATAAATAAATGTTGCCAAAATATAAAATGTTCGTTTTAAATCCTTAAAAAAATTTTTTTTGTTTTCTGGTTAGCGGGGGAATTTTTAATTGTTTTTTAAAAATAAATGTTTGGCGAGTTTACAACGTTATAAAATAAATTTAGAGAAGAAAAGGATATATTTTTGTGGATTATTTGGTTTAAAATGAACAGAGATTAGCGGCATTTTAAAAATAAAAATTAAAAACCTCATTATTTGCCTCTTATGTGAATAAACCTCTATAAGGTTTAAAAACCTCTTTATAAGATACCTTCTTGGAGGGTTGGAAAATCGTCTTAGTAGGGGTACCTAAACTAAATTGGAAACGCAATATCGGGTTTTCAATTGTCGTGTTCCCAAATGTCGGACCCAAATTGTCTGGCCAGCGAATATCGTGACACGAGCTCCCTTTACCTTTCAAGGAGCGTCTCTTAAATAGAGGTGTCTTAAATGGAAACCAAAATTGGTTATCTTATAATGAGGTTTTTGGCTGTACAAGAGGCTCCCAATGCCTCAAAAGTTTTAAAAAATTCGGTTGACCAATGAGTTAAATAGCTTCCGAAACGATACTTCCCATTTAAGATACCACTCATTATAAGGTATTATTTCCCATGGGATAGTGAGGTTAAACTTTAATTTATTTATTCCCTTTACTCAATAAAATAATAATGCATTTATATTTACATTTAAAGAAAATACAAACACAATTTCATGTCCATTACCCCCTCGGGTAATTCTTCTTGTCCTTCTTCCCGTCCAGACCTGGGCGAAACTCAAAATTTTTTTCTGACGAAACGAAACGAAACAAAATTTTTTAAAAATCGTTTCGTTAACGAAACGAAACGAAACAACCAAAATCTTACGAAACGAAACGAAACAAAACGAAACATTTTAATATTCAAAAAATTTTCAAAACTGCATTTATTTCGAAATTATTCGACCTCAAATACGTTATTAGTCGACTATGACTTATAAATGATTTAGTTATTGGTTTATTTACAACAATTGTGTCCCATAAGCCAGGCCCGTAGCAAGGAAAATTTTCGGGGAAGGGGGGGGGGGTCAATCATTTTCGAAGCCAAATTTTTGGCGACGCTTTTTTTTAAATAAAATTGAATATTTTTCAAGTAAAATTTTATTTTAAGCGCCGCAGACGAAAAATTTTAAAATTTTGAAAGGCCGTAGGCCAAAAAATTCACCATCTTGCTCCATTGCCTACCCAAATTGTCTCCATATCTCCATTTCGAGAGGAAGGCGATATAAGCTAGTGCTTCGCCGGAAGTTCCGGTTCCAGTGTAGTATATAAGTAATTGCTATCTTCCTTTTTCAGCGCCGCAGGCGAAAATTTTGACAATTTGGGAAAGCCAAGAAGCCGAAATTCTTTTTTTTTCAGCGCCGCAGGCGAAAATTTTTTAAATTTTCAATAAAAGATGGTAAATTTTATAGATTTTGGCCTTAGTTTAGGCTTAAAAAATTGTTTCGTTTCGTTGAAAAATCACAGGTGTTTCGTAACGAAACGAAACGAAACAAATTTAAAAGTGTTTCGTAACGAAACGAGACGAAACAGTAAAAATCATACGAAACATACGAAACAACGAAACGAAACGAAACGTTTCGCCCACGTCTGTTCCCGTCCTTCTGCCCTTTTTTTTTAAATTTAATATCCAGATGTAGTTAGTTAATTTTTAATGCAAAACTCATCGTTTTCCGCTTTCGTGGGAAGACGAGAGAGGGGGATAATTTTTATGAATTTATTACATTATTTTTAAAAAATGTAGGGGGGGAGGGGGGGGGAAGAAGATATTTAAATATAGGAGATGTTGGGGGGGAATAAAAATTAGAATTGAGAAAAAATAAAATTTTTGAAAGAAAAGGAAAACTTGGGGAAGAAGTTGAAGACTTTGGAGGTCTATTTTTATTAGAAACCGAACCGAGCCGAGATCTCGATGGGAAATCTCGGTTATCGAGATCCGAGACTTTTTCTAGATCTCGTTTCTCGTCCGACCCTCTCAGTCCGGTTTCTAATTTTATTAATTAAAGCATCAAGCAGTTAATTAAACAGCATGTTCTATATACCATTCGCAAGCTTAATTCGCGCCTCGTTTGGCATGCTTCGGCATTTTTACCAGAAAAATAATTTCAACGAGATATGCGTGGAGAAAAAGGGGATATACTAAATCCTGGACTACTCGATCCCCTTTACTCGCCCATAACTTTTTGAATTTGATTTTTCTAATAAAACGTTTAAGCATATCATACAGGGCTTGAATTAAGCTTTCTAATGGTGTATAGAACAATTAATCTTTTACCGATAGAAAAATGTTGGGGGCGCTCAAATTGTGTATGTCCCTTGAATTAATTAAAAAATTCTTCCTTATTTCCGCTCATTTTTGTGTTGCTAATTACTTTATCTCAATTTTTTTTATTTTTAATTTCCACAAATTCCCATCCTTCTACGCATAATAAATCATATAATATTCTCTCATTTTTCATCATTTCTTCACCCCTCTTTTGCGCACTTTCTCAGTTACTCTTCCCTTTAAAACGCCGCTTAGAGGGGGGGAGGGGGGAAGAATTTATTTTTATTTTCTCAGATTTGTCGGTATTTATTTACCTTCCTTTTACCCGTTTTTGGATGTTTTTAATGTTGCCTGGTACAATAAAAAAAATTTTGAAAAAAAGGTGCGCCCGGGACAACAATGAAAAAATATATTTTTTGAAGGAAAAACGAGGGGAGGGAAGGGGGCAATTGAAAATTAAATCGGAAATGTTGCGTTTTTTGTTAGTCAAAAATGTGTGAATTGGGGGTTTTAAAGAGAATATTATACAGTAAAAAATTAATATTATGTAAAAAAATTAGTCATGCAATTTAATAAAAATGCCCCAATCAAATATGCCAGATGTCCCTCCCCAAATCAACAAGCACATCTGCCTCATTTATTTTAATTTTAACTTCTTCAAGTTATTATCTATATTTTAAAACAAATATCATGATATTATATTTATAGAATATTTATAATTATTAAAATTAATCAAAAAGATATTAAAAATATGAGGAGTTGGGACATTTGTGGAGACGACATTTGCAAATATGACATGTGCGGTTATGACCCTTACGTATACGACATTTGCGAACAAAAACTATAATACCCAGCCGAAACATCGTGCTTCCACGCCAAAATCATTGTGCCTTTTCTGTTCACAATTGTCGTTTCCGCAAATGTCGTTTCCGCAAGTGTCGTGTTCACATTTGTCAATTCGCATTTGTCCTGCCTCCAAATATTTACATTTTTTAATTATTTTGTACTAATCTTTTTTAAAACAAATACTATTTTAAATATGTAAATAAGTATTTATTATATTTATTTGTCCAAATTCTTTCCTACAAACTTTACTAAATACCAATTTAATTCATTCTTTTGTAATTCAAATTAATTTTTGGTTTTGTCCTTTCTACTCTTTTCTTCTGTTTTCTCACCTTTTTTGCTCCTTTTTACCGTCCTGGCTTCCGCCAAAACAATTTTTAACCAAAAAATTTGGTTAAAATTAAAAAATAATTAAAATATTAGAAGGAATTTTTAAAAAAAATTTTTAGGTGTGGTTTCAGAACAGACGAACAAAATGGAGAAAACGGTTAATAAATAAATTATTTAGTAGTGTGGTGGGGCAAAACACCGTCCGGAAAATCACCGTTGACCCCAAAAGCCTCACTATAAGATACCTTCTAATACTAGATACAACTCTATTTAAGAGACGCTCTTTTAAATTAAGTCAATGGATGGGAGTTTCCCTCTTTGTCTAAGCTATGCCCTTTATTTAATATACACCTAAATATAAGAAACTATTCACAACCTCGCGGGGATATCTCGGTATTAATCTTACGGGGGTATAGGGTTCGACTGTTACTCCAAGCATTAATTTATTTTCATTTTTCAAGTGAGTCTGCTGACCAGGCCTCCCGTAGAAGATCAGAAGCAGCCGAAGCTTTCGACCGAAGCATTTCACCTTCCTTCCTCCACAACGCTGGTGGTTCCAATTCCCCAGGTTCTCCTCTATCAGGAATTGCTGCAGGCACTTCAAGTCCTTGTTCTCCAGAAAATTATGTTACTTCTGGACAATTCTCCACAACAACCCAATTTATTCAACCAAACAATTTTGCAGCTTTTTCCCTCTTTTCGGCACCTTTTTTTAGAAGTTTTCCAGCACAAACTGAAACACACAACAATTCTGCACTAGTAGAGGCTTTGTGTAACGGAGGAAGAGGTGGGCAAACTGGGGAGACAAATGAATCTGTAAATTAGGTGAATCGAGAGATTTTTAAATTACTCTATAAAATCAGACCTCACTAATGTATTGAGGCGATATTGCCTCTTATATTGGGGTGTTTATTAAATAGAGGGTATCGCTTAAATAGCTCCCTTCCATCAGATGACAATTGTATATCGGACAAATGCAAATGCGACAATTGCGCATGTGACAAATGCGGACACGACACTAGGGAATACGACAATTGCGTACCTGGACATTTGCATACGGGACATTTGTGAATACCTGCATTAGAAAACGTCTCTACGTCTCTTTGATCTAATATTGGGGGTATCTTATAGTGAGGTCTGATTCTATTTTCCAATTGTTTTCCTTTTTATTTTTCCCCAAATATTCTTTTAGTCAAAAAATATTTTTTTCTCTTTATTTTCCCCTCTAAATGCAATTTCTTTAATTATTTTTTAATTATTTTTCAAAAAATACAAAAGCAATCATTTCTTTTAAAATACAAAAATATTTTTCTTTTTTATCAGCATTTTCACAATTTTTCCTTGCCAACAACAAAAAAATACAAAATAATAATAAATTTTTTTTCAAATATTATTTTTCATTCCTGTGAATTGTTTTGCTTTGATTAAACAATGATTAAAACACAATACACAAAAATAAATTTTTGTTTGTTTTTTAATTTTATTTTAAACAATTGTGTATCGGACAATTGCAAATACGACATTTTCGTAAGAGACAAATGTATACAGGACAACATTTGCAAATACGACAATTGCGTAAGAGACAGTTATGGGAAAGACAAATGCGTATGTGACAAATGCGGATACGACATATGTATATGCGTCAATTGCGAACATGACAACTGAACGACATTTGCGAACACGACAAATGCGTACAGGACAATTGAAGAACGTAAACTTGTCCCGTAGGCATTAAATAAAAAAATGTAAAGACAATTGCGAAAACGACAAAAGTGTACAGAATAATTGCGAAAACGGCAATTGCTTAACAAAAATAGAATAATTTATGCAAAATTGAAAAAATCTATAACAAATATTAGTTAAATTAATTAAAGGTTTTTTTGGCGTTATTATTAGGGCAAATTAAATAATTACAAAAATAAAATTAAATTATTTCACAAATTTTGAGTTGATTTTGTTCCAAAAAATTGATCAAAATTTGAAAAGAAGTAACTTCTTTGGCTGCCAAATTAATTTTTCCTTCTTGAATTTGTGAACGAATAATTGAGGGAAGGAGGAAATTTAAATTGTTTTCTGTTCCTTTTTTGTCAAAACAAAACAAAATGTTTTCTAAAGCCAATAATTGATCTATTAGTGAAGGCTCGGTTAAATAAGAAAATAATTCTGGGCAATGAAAGTGCTTCTTAAAAAAATTAGAAATTTTAAAAAATAGAAAACCTCTCATTACAAGATACCCTCAACTGAGAAAGCGTCTCCTATAATGAACGTCTCTTAAATAGAAGTCATTAGAGGGCAACGCATGGCAGCTGTCTGTCCTAACCCAAGGGCCAATAAATTTTAAAAGGCGTCTCTTAAATTGAGAAGTCTCTTATAATGAGGTGTCTATTAAATAGAGGGTATCGCTTTGGCGACTGTTTGTCGCCGACCAAAGGCCAACAAATTAAAAGAGCGTCTCTTAAATTGAGGTGTTTCTTATAATGACCTGTCCTTAATAATGAGCGTCTCTTATAATAAGGTGATCCTTAAACAGAGGTTATCACTTAACCAGACTCCCCCACCTAGTAACTACCCAAATAAATCTACTAGAACCCGGAATTTTTCTTCTAAATAGAGGTGTATCTAATATTGGCGGTATATTATAACGAGGTTCAAAATACCTTATTATTCAAATGTTCAATTAATTGTTCAAAAATACCAAAACCAAAATATTTCCAACAAGATTGTGCCAACAAAATCATTGTTAAAAATAAAAAACTTGTAGTTTCATTCATTTCAGCAGATAAAGAACGTTGACATTTTGTAAAAGATAACCAACAAATATGAAATAAAAGTAACTTAAAAATAAAAAAATGGATGAATTTTAAAAGAAAAAACAAAAAAAAATCCAACAAAGGATTCGAACCCTCAATGAAAATAGAGTGTAGTCGGAAACGATACCACTACACCACAAAAGTCTTTAATTGGCTTCTTTACTAAAAACCCGGAATTTTGAAGGGAATATTGAATAATACCGATACTGATAAAATTCAAAATTTTACCACAACGTATTCCCTAACTGCCGACGGTAGTACCGATAAATACCGAAAAATACCGTCGGTAGTTCTTCGGGAGTACCGCGTGAATACTTGGATGCCGAAAACATTCTTAAATAGTTAGTCCTCCTAGAAACAAGTGAAACATCCGGAGGTCTACTAAAATAGTCGGGAGGTCCGGTGAATATTCTTCATCTATCACTTTGGCTGGGTATCTCTTAAAAGAAGAAATAGGCACAAATTTAAAAGGATATTTGGAGTTAGATAGCCAAGGGGAGTCGATTTCAGGGGGAGGACTAAATGAAGGTTTTTCCCAAAATTCTGGAGTTCCTAAGTAGGAAGTCCCCCTGACTACGCTTTTGCTTTATAATATAAAAAATTCTTTAGGGAATTTTTTAAATAAAAATTAATTGTAAAATAACCTGTATATACAAAAAAGTGTGTTTTTGATTTTCAAGTTGAACCCAAACTGGCTCCTAAAAATAAATTAGAGTCCACAAAAAAAATTTTTTTTAATTTAAAAAAACCTGAGAAATTACAAGTGCTGGAAATTTTATTAGTTCATCATCCTCCTTTTCTTCTTTTAAATTATTAATTTCTTTAATTAATTCAATTCCCAATTCAAAAGCCAATTTAAGTTTTCTTTCAACAATTAATATTTGTAAATATAAAATTTTCATAAATAAATTTTGAAGAGGCAATTCTTTTGTTAAATCGAACAACTATGGAAAAAAACTAAATTTATAAAATTCTAATTGAGTTTATGAGTCCCTTAAGTGTTTTTTTTTGGCTTTTTTTGGTCCTCAAAGTTTTTCTGGTTTTTGGACTATCCATAAATTGAAAATTAGAAAACTGAAGTTGTTGGTCTGGATTTCAATTTATAAATTCTAAACGAGAAAAGGGAGGTTAAGGAGTCTGAAACCAAAATTCCAACTCAAAGAGTCCAAAACCCAAATGTTTGACCATCAATTCAGAATCCACCCCACAACTCTAAACCCCAGAGGAAATTCAAAAAATTTTTTTATTGGACTCATAAATTGAACAGGAACCAAAATTAATTTTAAAAGAAACCTTTAAATAAAATTCTTTTGCCAATTTCCAATTTTCTGAAGCCATTAAAGCCAAAATAGAAATTGAATAAATATTTGGAATTAATAATTTTAAAGAATCTAGTTGTTGATTAATTATATTAAAAGAATTATTAATTGAGGAATTAAAAAGTAAATTTAGTAATTTAATTGGTGATTTGAGGTTTTGATTTATCTAAAAATTAATAATAAAAAAAATCAAAATAAAAAAAAACAATTTTTCAGCCATCCACAGGTCCGGGTATAGCCCCACGAAAGATCCGAGTATAATTTTAAAAAAATAAAAAAAAACCTTCAATCCTTCCTTTTCTTGTTTTATTTCTTCAATTTCAGCAGGAGAATCGTCTTCCTCAACATCCAAGTTGTAAAGCCAAAAATGTTCAAAACCACTAGAATCTACCCAAAAAATATTTGCTGGGACATAAACAAAGTGATTGGGAAAATCTAAAAAAATTTTTTGGAACTTAAGAAGGGCTGGTATTTTTGTGGAGTTTTTGGGAATAATTTTTGCAGTCTTTTCTTTTCCTTTTTTGTTGTTTTGTTTTGAAAATCAATCAGAAATCAAATTCAACATTTGACGACCAAAAGACACTCGACCACAAAAATTCGTCAGCAAAACCTGCCGACCAAAATTCTGTTCGCATAAAAAATGTCCGCAAAAATATCCTCAAAAATACTAGCTCTCCATTAAAAATTAACAAAAAACCTTTCTGAACATCTTTTAAAGGAGAAGCAATAATCCAATAAATTACAAATTTAACAAATTCGGAGATCTCTAGCAATTGTTTAGCATCCTCATTAATTAATATTTTTTCTAAATTTTCTCCAATTTTTTCGTTGCTAAAAGGAATTTGTTCTAACATTTTGGCTAAATTTGAATGACCACGTTGTTGTAATATATGAGACAATATTGGTAAACAAAAATGCCAACATTTTGACGGGCGGTCAAATTTTGATAAAATTGAGATACCTGGACGGCTTGAAAATTATTTTAGTCAAACCTCATTAGAAGATACCCCCGATATGAAACTTCTATTTAAGAGACGCTCATTAAAATGTGATAGGCCACTGGGTGGGGGAGTTTCCTAAACGAATTTTCTAGCTTATGTTAGGCTAGAATATGGGTTATCTTATAATAATGAGGTGTAGCTTAAATAAAAAACACTCTACTTAAGGTGCACCCCATTATAAGAGACCCTCATTATAAGATTTAATTTTCACAGCAACAAGAGGCTAGTCACTAATATGGTCCTATACCTTCTAGTGTTTTCTCGGGCCCAAGGGGGTATCTTAAAGTGAGATTTGACTGAAGTTAATAAAATTTAACAAAATAAAAACCTATAGAAATCATCAGGAATTCTTCCGACAGTATCAGCAAAACAATTTTTCAAAATAATTTGATATATTTGAGTAATATTGTGAAGAGATAAATCACCAAATTTTGACTGAATTAAACTATCAAAGAGGCGAACTTAAAAAATAAAGAGTTTATAAAAAAAATCCGGAAATTTTTAAAATTAAAAAATTACATAAAACAGCATCCATAGCAGTTATTCCCTCTTCTCTTCCTTCTTTTGTAATTTTATCTAATTGGAATTCCCCGCTAGCACCCAAATAATAAGCAAAAAGTTTTGTCTAAAATTAATTTAATTTAAAAAATTAAAATTAATAATTAACCGCAACATTATATAAACTGTTTGGTTGGTTACAGGCAAAGGTTAAATAAACTTGTAAACTTCCTTTTGTTGAATTTCGTTGTTCCGGAAAGGCAAAGAAAAACATTTCTTGTAAAATATCCATGTTTAATTCGCCTACTAGTTCTGAAAATTAAATTTTTAATGTTTTTAACAACCAGATAGTTCTAAAAAATTTTACAAGGGCCAGGATTCGTTAAATTCACTTCATTTACAAAGTTGAATGTTTAAAAAGCAAAAATAAATCGATTAACGACCAACGGGTTCGAACCCAAGACCCCCAATTTGCGCCTAAACCACTTAACCAAACAACAGCCTAATAAACCTACCTTATTTTCAAGCCTTGTATTACCCATTAAAAATACTTTTAAAACAAACCAGAAGAAAAAAGTTTATCAGAATTTCCATCCAGCAAAACAGAAAATAGTTGACCTATTCTTTGACGAACCTTTTCTGATTTGTCTAATTGATAACTGAAATTAAAATTTATTAAAAAATAAAATAAAAAACAAACATTTTCTGTGCATTAAAGCTCAAATCTTTCGCATTTCTAAATTTCAGGGCAATATCAAATTCCAATAAATTAAATTCTAAAGGTCCAAATTCACTTTCTAAAGTTAACATTCTCGATTTTCTTGCCCAATAAGACTGTGAACAGGGAAAAGAATTTAGTTCATTGAGTACTGACAAATATTTTTGTTGATCTGTTGAAGTTGTGGATGTTGTATTAGTTGACATTTGAATTAATTTTTTTTAGAAATTTATAGGAAAAAATCTGACAGAAATTTTAAAGATTTTTAAAAATTTTTGGTAGTCAAGTATGGCCGGTTCAGTGCCAGCCAGTAAAAAAATTAAAATTTAAGGGACGGTTGAGATCGGTCAGTTAAGCGCAGGCAGACAGATTTGATAACCTTCTTATTCTTCTTAATTTAACTAATCTAAACAAAATTTTTTTTATCATTTTTGAGCCTTCAATAAGCAAAATCTTTTTTAAACCGAATAGATTAAATCTGATTAATTTAATATTTTCCTTACTTTTTCATGGAAATGAGACACTTAATCGCATAGTCAGTTAAGCGCAGGCAGAAGGAAGCTGGTCATTCTTTTGAAAGGAAGGATCCTTGAGTGATTTTGATACCAATCGATAACGCAGAAAAGCTACAAAACAGGAGAAAAATTTCTTGCCCAATAAGACTGTGAACAGGGATTTTTAACAAGGACCATAAACAGTTATCAGTCTGCGACTAATTGACCTCGCGACCAAATGTCCGCTCAAATTAATATATACAAAATGCCAAAGATAAAATAAATGTTAATTTTCAATTTTTTCTTATTAAAATATAATTTTTTCCCAATCATTATCTCTTTACATTTTACGCTTTTGTAAAGTTTTTTTTTACTTCTAAACATTTTCCCTTTATTTTATTACCAATTTTGTACAGCTGCTAATGTCTCGCTTTTACATTTCACAATTTTTCTTTTTTCTCTTTATTAACGCTCTCAATATCTATAAAATATATTAACGGTTCTTCTATATTAAAATAAAAGAGGAGGAAAAAGGCTGTAAATGATTGACTATATAAAAAAATTTAATAAAAAAAAAGGTGTTGATAACGGCCTACCAACTAAACAGTCTACCACAACCTTAGTTCCCTCTCCCATTTTGCCAATACCACATTTTGCCAATAAGGCTAAAATCACTCATTTTGTCAACAAACTTGTGACAAAATGTGGATTTTTAGCCTTCTTGGCAAAATGTCGTTTTTTCCACTTATTGGCAAAATGTGTCTGAGCCCTTTCTTCCTTCCCTTACTCCTCTTCTCTTCATTTTTGCCAAACTTTTTCCTTCGTTTCTTTCTCTCTCCCATATTTGTCAAACAATCTGTCAATCGTTTCCCCCACTTTCAAACAAAAAAAAAGTTTTTTTTTATTTTTTAGTTTAATCTTCAATTTCCCCATTCCAACTCTTTAAATTGTCTCATTAAAATATTCCCATGTTAAGAATTCTTTTTTTAAATCTCTTGACAGTTTAAAAGTGATCTAAAAATGATTAGAATAGTGGGAAAGTTGATCAAACTAAAAAATATTTATTTATTTTTATTTATCAGTTCAGAAAAAATTATTTTCCCTGTCTGGGGTTCGAACCCCTGCCCCATTTTGTTATAAATCCTAGCATTTTCCCACTACACCAAAATATCTTCTTGCGGACTTTGCCTGTTATAAGACCCAATATGGTTAGATTAGGTCCATTAAGCTTCATTCTATATAGTCAAACCTCACTATAGAATACCCCCTATATAAGATACACTTCTATTTAAGAGACCCTCTTTAAATTTGTTTGGCCAACTGGGTGGGGGAGCTTCTCAAGTGAACCCCTCTATTTAATTTACACATTATAAGGTATAATTTTTCAATCCCAAGGTGTATCTTATAACGAGATCCGACTGTACTTTTGTATACAATTCATTAATTACCCAACACCTTTTCTCTATTTTCTATTCAAATAACAATAAAAGTGCACACTAAAATTGACTAGACACACACACACCTTTCTATCGAGACTGTCTACATTTTCTGTCTAATAAATAAAATAAATACAGTTGAGCAAACCAAACAAGCCTTTCTGTTAAAAAAATTTTTTTCTGTCCATTTTCAACCAATCATTCGTTTAAAGCTTCAATTTTTTCCTTCATCAGTTTTTAAGGTTTTTTGCCTGTTTTTCCACGTTTCTACCTTCACAAAGCCTTTAAATAAATTTTTATTTTTCATTGTTTCCCTTATCTTTCTCTTTATTATTATTATTTTTTAGGGTTGTCCCAATTCTCTCTCTCGACTCTTTTAGCTCAATAAAAATGCAAAGTATTAAAATTTATATGAGACACATTTTTATCTAAAAGGAATCTCGTTTTTAATTCTCCATGATTTTTCTCTATTTTATTAAACAATTTTCATAATATTCAAAAAATTAAAAAAATTTTTGACTAATTCTTTTAGGCCTCTTAATTAAACACACTTGGACCTCACTATAAGATACCCCTTAATTGAAAACTCTTTTATATTGGAGTGTCTCTTAAATAGAGGGTATCACTAGAAAGCTACTCCCACCCAATAACCAATCAAATTTTTAAGGAGAGTCTCTTAAATAGAGGGTTCTTTGTATTGAGGGTGTCTTATAGTGAGGTCTGTCTGGGGTGTCTCTTAAATAGAGGTGTATCGCTTAGACAGGCTACCCATACCCCTTGGCCTAGTAGTGTATCTAACAAAATTTTGTCTCTTATATTGAGTGTATGTTAAATAGGGGGTATTTCTTGAAAGAAAAAGGAGCGTCTATTGGGTGTACCTTATAATGAGTGTTTCATGTTTTATTTAAACTACAAAAAAGCCTTTCATTTCTCTCTCATTTTTATCTTCCCAATCAAGCAATTTATTGATAAGACCAACCAACATTTTAATATCGAGCAAGAAAAAAAATTTTTTTCCACCTTTTATTAGTAATAAATATATTTAACCAGTCATTTTATTTTGTATTTTACAACACAAAACATTTAAAAAGCAAGAAAAATTTTGCCTTAAAATGATAAAAGGCTTTTCTTAAAACAACTATAAAAGCAACACAAAAACATTAAAAAAATTTTTTTCTGTGTTCGTTGTTGAGTCAACATCAAACAAAAACAGAAAAATACCTTTTCCCTCCCCTCATCAACAAAAATTAATTTTATTTATTTCTTAAAACAACACAAAAATTTAATTAAAAATTTAAAAGGAAATTTTTTTCATGGTTTAAGTGGAGAAATGAATATCACTGTTTAATCCACATTTTTTAAAATGTGGAAAATAAAGCCTAGTGAGATTCTTTTTCTCCATTTGCCCCGTGAAATATGCCTAAAATAAAACTTCAAAAAAATCTGTGGTTTAAAAATAAAAAATAATCATTTAAAAAAGGTATTGGTTCGGGACAGAAATTTAAAGCATCTTTGTGCCAGTTTCGTATTTCGACTTGTAAATTTAATTTCAGCACACTCCTGGTACTCGCCAGGGATAGGCCCTTCTCTCATTTTTAAATAGCCTATAATCTATCAGCTCGCCGAGACAGCGAGCTAAAAAAACTTGTTATTCACCCAATATCAAAATAAATGCCCTCAGGCATTCAACACTACTAAAAATATTTAAAAGCTCTTTTAATTAATTTTTAATTAAAAATTAATGAGTTCATTAACTAAAATTCTTTCTCTGAATTTTTATAATAAATCAACATCACTCATTGTTGTTGTTTTTATAATATTTTCTGTTGATTCCAATCCGAGAGAGCGGTAGGCATAACAGGTAACTTGGTGAATGAAAAGATTAAATTTTTTAAAGATTTAAAATTATTTTACCATTCCCAAGAGATGATTGACAAAATGTATCGGTATATGCTACATAAGAAAATTCTCCTTTTGCACAAATAACCTTTGAAAAATAATTTTTAAATTTGTTAATTCATTATAAGATACACTATTGGGTCTGAAAAAATCGTACCTTATAATGAGTGTCTGTTACATAGAGGATATCGCTTGGAAAGCTCCCCCACCCAGTGGCCAACCAGATTTTAAAGAGCGTCTCTTAACAGGAGTGTATCTTATAATAGTGGTATCTTATAATGAGTGTATGTTAAATAGAGGATATTGTTTGGGAGAAAAGAATGCTTATGGGGTATCTTATAACGAGGTTTTTAATTTAAAAATTATTTTTTATTTTACATTTATTTTTGCAAAAAGTTTTTCTTCTGCTACTTTTTGTATTGCCCCTTAAAAATTAAAAAATAAATTTAAAAAAAATTTTAAATTTACTCTTTGAACTATTCGGATCATCACCAATTATATTTTCTTGTATAGCTGTTCTAAGCTTTCTGCTGTTGCAGGTTGGGTCGTCTTCTGTTTGGTCTTCTGTTGGAGCAGCAAATATTTGAGAACCTTTGAATATAAATATGTAGTCAAAACCTCACTTGTGAGTACCCCCTCTCGTACCTTATAATGAGAGGTTTATTAAATTGAGGTATAATACTGAGAGTTCCTCACCGTGTGTTCTAGCCCTCCCCATATATCGGCATGGAGTACTGCATTGACAGCAACAATCATTGCTTGGATAGCCTGAGGGGAAATTCAAATAATTTTTTAAACTTAATCAAACCTCCCAAAGGATAGCCAATTTGTGGACCTCCAAAACCTCCTCCAAACCCACCCATTTGAGGACATGTACAGGGTGTTGGCAAGGGGCAGGGTGGAGGCGGTGGAAGAGGTGGAGGGCATGGCAGTGGTGGAAGGGGAGGTGGACAGATGACTGGAGGAGGGCAAAATGTTGGTGGACAGGGAATTGGTGGAGGGCAGGGCTGAAAATTTAAAAAAAATTTTTATAAATTAAAAAAATACAATAGCTGGAGGACACGGAGGCGGGCAGGGAGGAGGACATGGAAGTTGTAATTGAGGTAATTGGAAGGGTGGGCGTATTCCACAGCCACCGAAAAGGCCTTGCCCAGTCGTAAAAATAAATAAAGAAGATATTAAATAATATTTAAATAACATCTGTTTTTGATATACAGTCAGACCACATTATAAGATACCCCCTACACCTCATTATAATATACTCCCAATACTAGCCTTACCTCTATTTAAGGTATGCTCCTTAAAATAGGTTGACCACTAGGTTGGGGAAGATACCCAGACGATACACTCTATTTAATATACACTCATAAAAGGCCTTCTCACTATAAGATACCCCCAATATTAGATACATCTCTATTTAAGAGACGCTCGTTAAAAGTTAGTTGATTACTAGGCTGAGAAAGCTGACTAAGTGATACCTCTATTTAATATAAACCTCATTATAAGTCCCTCAATATAAGATAAGAAATTTTCAGCCACAAGGGTGTATCTTATAACGAAGTCCGACTGTTCTAAAAATATTTTTCCAAAAATTTTATTTATTTGAGACTGATCTATATTGTGTTTTCAAACCCTCTTTTAAATAGTTCAAACAAAATAGAATGCGATTATCATTCCATTCATTTGTTCACACACAATAAATGTCCTCCCCTTGCGCCCCTTAAAAAAGCTTGTCCTTCCTCTCTTTTATAGCCTAAGGGTATTATTTACCTATTTAGCGACCTTGGCCCTTCTCTTTCCTTCTCCGGCTAAATAAAATGTTTTTTGCTTCTTCCTTGTTTCATTTGCGCTGTGAAACCGCCAGAGGAACATAAATTGATGACGTTAATATATGGAATGGAGATGACGCATAAATAGGTAAATGGAAATAAAAATATTTGGAAATTCCAGAGAAATTAAATATAAATTAGAAGATATCTCCTCATTAGAAGATACAACCTTGGAACAGAAAAAAATCATACATAACTAGGCTTGCCGGCCCGGACCAGTTAAGCTCCTAGCCTGTGTCCTAGCCTGTGCTGATGTGTGTTCACTTACCCGGACCAGTCCGAAAGATCGAGTTGGGCATCGAATTTTAGCCCAAAGAGGCCGGGCCGGCCCAATAATCTTTGGGACTCTCACCTCCTCCTCTCTCCTCATCACACCCATCAGTCCACTCTTAAGTGTCCACTTCATCCCGAGTGGTGTCGTTATGGAGCTTCCGTTGTATTATAATTAAGAGTATTTTAAGCCCCTCTCTTTTTTAAATATTTTTCAGCTTGTTCTAATTAAAAAAGTTCCTTTTTTTATTCACCTTGAAAATTAATTCTTTTTTCTCCAGTTCCGGTCATTCTTTTGTTGTTTTTTGGAGGGAATTTTTCGTGGTTTATTATTAAAATGAAAAAAATAATTTTTTCTTTTTTAATTTTTCTACAAAAAGTAACAATAATAATTACTTTATTTTTAAATATAAAATATTTAAATGCTTGTATGACGGCTATGATAGCACAGCCAATACCTGGTTTTCCCCTCCTTTAAAAAACTTTCAAAAAATTAATTTTCCCTAGCCTGTGCTTCTTGTTCCCTTACCCAATTAATGTTAACACCTGGGAATGGAATGACATCAAGTACTCCGGTTAGATAAAAATATTTTAAGAAAGTTAGACCTCATAAGATACATCATCTTCAAGGCTGAGTTGTGCACTATAATGAGGTGTCTCACACAGGGGTATCTATTGGTATCCTATAGTGGGGTGTTTTATAGACGAGGGGATATTATAAGAGAGGGTGTCATATACTGAGGTGTATCTTAAACAAGTGTATATTATAATGGGGCGTAGATTAGATAGAGTACCTAGTCTCTTATAGTGGGGTGTATCCATGTATCCTAAATGGAGGTGCATGACATAAGAGGTTAATTACCTGATTTTAATTTTTTAAGATCCCCTCAGGCATAGTACTCGATCCAAGTGGTTGCTCACACCTTATGGTCACTTGTATGGCATTAAATGGCGCTAGTGTATTTATGCGTGTAATTAAATTTTTAATTTTTTAATTTAAAAATTAATTTTTAAAGTTTAATATAAACCAAGGAGGGCCTGTAAGTAATCCAGGCAGTACACTAGTTACGGCCACCCTAGATTGTGTTGGTGGACAATGGATGTTTCAACAAGGAGGAATTGACAGAATTATTAATGAAATTAATTGTCAAAATGAATTTTGAAAATGAGAAAATCTTTAAAAAATTTTTCGAAAAATTTTCTTTTTGAATTTTCCGAAAAAAATTTCATTTTGAAATTTTTTTTGAAATTTTGAAAATTTTTTTTCCTAAATTTTAGGGGTCGTGGGTTCGAACCCGCGTGGGGGAATCAATTTTTTAATTAATAAAATCAACCACAAAATAACTTAAAATATATATTAATTAATTATTAAATTAATTTTTAAACAGAGAAAACAATTAAAAATTACGAAAAAATTTTTAAAAGTTAGGCAGTTTTTAAATATATTTTTTATATAAGGGCGAATCTTTGAATTGTTTGGATATATTTTTAGATGAGTTTTTTTGTTTTTTAGAGATTCGAAAAAAATTTTGAGAAAAGGGGAGGAAAGGAGAGGTAATAATTATATAAAAATTGGCCGAACCTCATTATAAGATACCCACTGAAAAAATCGTACTTATAAGAGACACCCAGAGAAACCTTCACAGCTTCTCAACTAATGTCCAACCAAATTTTAAAGAGTGTCTCATAAATTAAGGTGTATATTAGAGATCGAGATTTTTGAAAAGCCTGGGCCTGTTCCTGGGCTCTGGGTTTGATTTATTGACCTGGGCCGGGTTCTGGGCCTGTAGTCCAGGAAAAACCCAGGCCCAGGAAAAACCCAGGAAGTTCAAAAAATGCCTGGGCCTGGACTCTGGGTACAGGAAAAACCCAGGCCTTGGTCCAGGCCCAGCTCGATCTCTAGTGTATATTATATTGAGTGTCACCCTCTATTTAATATACACCTCATCATTAGATATCTCAAAGGTGCGTCTTAAATAGAGGTGTGTCTAGTTCTCTTATAAAGAGATTCGGCTTTAAAATAAAATTTAAAAAAATAAAAAAAAACCCTGTACAATAAACATTTTCAAGCTCATTTGTTTTCTTTCCTCTAAAATTTTTGTTGTTTTTCAACTTCCATTACTTTCCTCACTACTATAATCATCATCATCTTCTTCATCTAAATCATCCTCATCTGTAAATGCTTGTCGCCGCCTTGCCATTGGAATGGGTTTTAAATTTTTCTTTTTAATATTATTTTCTTCAATTTGGTTGTTGTTATTAATGTTGGCATGTTGGGCTAAAATAAATAAAAAAATTTTATTTATAAAACACAGTCTAACCCCCAATCTTAAAGGGAAGCTATGTAAAAATTAGTTGGCCATTGGATGAGGAAACTGCCTAGGCGATAAGCGATGCTTTCTATAACCTTGAAGTATCAATAATGAATGTCTATTTAATATAGGCATCACCAATAGTTCTTCTCTAAATATAGTTCTTCTGCATAAAATATACAAATTTGAAGGTCGTGGGTTCGAACCCGCGTGGTGGAATTCTTTTTAGTAAATAAAAAAAAGTGAAGACAACATTTTGACGATTTTTATAATGATTAAAACATTCAACACGTCAATTTAATGATCACAAGCGATATTCTTACATAAAGAACTATTTTTTAAACCCCAAGGGTGGATCCTAAACCCGGAGGCTTATATTGAGATTTGACTGTCTAATTAAATAAAAAAAATTTTCTGCAAACCTATTGGAGTACTATGCACAATATTATTATTAGAACAACATCCTCCATTTTTATTAACATTTCCATTTTCCACAACAAAATTTCCAGCCAAAATATTTGAACAATTATTTGGAGCAGGTGAAGGAACATTAATTCCCCCACCAACCGAAGAATAACCTCCTCCTTGTCTTAAATTTCTATTAGACAAATAACCATTTGTTGGTCCTCCAATGTTTGATGTTGTTATTCCACTTCCAGAACCTCCAGAATTTACACTACTTGTAGCTCGATGTTGTTGAATATGTAAAGCTGACGTTTGGTTTGATTGACACCATTTCTATAAAGAAAAATTTTTTTAAATAAGAGAGAAAGAGGCAAAAGGTTAACTCAAGGCAGGCCTTAAACTCTTTGACCTCCTGACAGTTATTATTTCTAGGAGCTCTCGCTCACACACGCACAGGTACTCGACCGACTAGAATGAGTCAAGTTACATCAACCGTGACCCAAAACCGACCCGACTTTTTTATCCCAGCTCTATCACGAATCCCGCTCTAGTTTAATCCCAGCTCTATCACCTCCCTGCTCTATCACGAATTTTAAACTATCTGGGTTCGCTACTCTACCAACCAAGCTCCCCGCTCAACCAACGGTATGCGAATCGAAAATTTTTTGCTACCTCAAAATCTTTTCACCCAAAAATTTAATTTTTCCTACCAAAAACTTTAAAAAAACCTGAAATTTCGAATTTAATTCAGCAAATGTCGGTCTACGGCTAGCATTTTCATTAAAACATTCAACCATTTGTGCATAAACAGCAGGAGGGCAAAATTCTGGAATGGCTAAATAACTTCCTTCTTGCACAAATTGAATAACTTGTTCGTCTGTACAGCCTTCATAAGGTTGTCCTTTAAAGAAAAAAAATTTTTAAGGCCTCAAAAAATTTTCAAAAAATTTACTTCCATAAGTATAAATTTCCCATAAACAAACACCAAACGAATAAACATCGCTAGCTTGTCCATACCTTCCTTCATTTAAAGCTTCTTTTGACATCCAACGAAGTGGAACACCTCTACAACTGCTGTTTAGCTGTAAAAAAAATTTAAAATTTTCAGTTAATTTTCAAAATAATTTTTAATGACAATTGCGAACACAATTGAAAAACGACAATTGCTAATATTACTGAAAAAACGACAATTTCGAACACAACTGCGAATACGACAATTGCGAACACACTTATGAAAACGACATTCGAGAACACATTACAAACCCGACAACTGTGAACACAATTGAAAAACCGACAATTACGAAACTAATCGCAAAAACAACATTTGGAAACACAATTGCAAATTTGACAATTCCAAACCCCAAAAAATAAAAAAAAAATAAAACTTGCAAACCCTATAATAATCCCGTTCATATTGGCTTTTCATTCTCGCAAAATTACAAATTTTAATAATTTGTTGATCACCAACTAAACAATTTCTTGCAGAAAGGTCTTTATGTACAAATCCATTTGAAGCCAAATAAGCCATTCCACAAGTTATTTGAGTTGAAATTTTGAGAAAATCTTGAACATTTCTTTGCCTTTCTTCTTGCTCATCCTGTTCATTTTCGCCTCTAGGCTCTCTAACTTTTAAAAATTCAATCAAATCTCCATGAACCATATAATCAAAAACGGCACACAAATTCCTTCCACCAAGAAAACTGACGCCAAAAAGACGCAAAATGTTTGGGTGCTCAAAAAACCCAATGGCTTGAATTTCTTCTTTAAATTGCTCTTCTGCTACGTGTTGAGGAATATTTGATTTTAAGGTTTTTAGAACAACCTGATGAAATAAAAAAAATATTTTTAAGAATAAAAATATAACGTCAGACCTCGTTATAAGGAGACACATCTACATAAAAGAATCTCTAGTTAAGAGACCCTTTAAGTAAGACACACCTCTATTTAATAGACACCCCATTTTAAGAGACACCTCCACTTAAGAGACACCTCCACTTAAGAGACACCTCTATTTAAGAGACACCTCTATTTAAGAGACACCCCATTATTAGAGACACCTCCACTTAAAAGGTACCCTCTATTTAAGAGACACTTCATTATAAGAGACACCTCCACTTGAGAGACACCTCCACTTAAAAGACCCTCTATTTAAGAGACCTCTCGTTATAAGAGACAATTTCAAACCCCACGGGTATCATATAATGAGGTCTGACTCCAAAAAAAATTAAAAAAAAAGCAAACTTGTAAAGCAGCTCCACTCAACATTCCTCCAACCCATTCACCCAAAATTAATTGTGTACTTGCATCTTCACCCAAAATTCGGTCCAAAAATTTAATTTGTCGTTCTTGTATATGTGCAATTTGATACGGTTCGGCAGGTGGCGGTTCAGTATGTGGACTGTTGTTGTATGGCTAGAAAATAGAATTTAAGTTTTTAAATAAAATAGGATATTATCAAAAATGACATTTTGTCCAAATGACTAGAGCTCGGCACGGTACGGAACCCCGTACGGGATTTTACAGGATCCCGTCCCGGAATCCCGGGTTTATGGCGACAAACGGGATTACCGGGATTTACGGGATTAATCCCGCGGGATCCCGTCCCGCCCAAAATTTTGAAAAAATCCCGTTCAGGGATCCCGGGAATGCGATTTTGCCGACCTCTACAAATGACATTTCATCAAAGTGACATTGTGTCTAATTGACATTATGTCCTAAATCCTTATCATAAAAAACCTGTTGAGATTTGATCGACTGTGGAGCATAATAAGACCCATGTTGAGGATACGCTACTGCAGAATTCAAAGTTCCACTATTTTCCCAATATCTAAATTGTTGTTGTTGGGGCATTTCAAATAAGTGTTGCTGTTGTTGATATCCACCAGAAGCTACATGATATTGTTCAGAAAGTAAAGGATTAAGTAATTCTTCATTACAACATACTCCTCCCCCTCCTCCTTGCCTCATTCTTTCATCTCTAACTTTTCTATAAAAAGCAGAATTCATATCACTTCCAGAGAGTGTTGTCGACCCTCCTCCACCACCAGCAGCACTCCCTCCTCCTCCCCCAACAATTCCCTGGGGGTTTATACCATTACAATTATGCAACA